AAAGGAGCTGTCATATTAAAGCCACATCTCTTAATTAATAAGTCTAACTGGAGAAGGTGATGGGGGCCATGAGACCCCCACAGGGGATTTAACTCTCGCAGGCACCACAGTGGACATGGGTCTGATTCTCTACATCACTCCTGCTGCAGCTGCTGACCTCGCAGCGCATTCTCCCATTCTCTCCCAGCGCATCCAAGAACCAAAGATCTAGCAGCTCCCAGTGCCGTCTGCTGTTACACATCCCATGTACCCGCCTCTCAAAGAAGTTGTAAGGAACATGAAATAAAGAAGCTAGGGACTCTCCATGCCATTCACAGTATAACTCCAGTCTTACAACTACCAGCTAGGAACCTCTACCAAACTCCTGGGACACACGAGGCTGTTGATCATTCCTGAAATACAGGCAGGTAGGCTGCACACATGGGGGCAGGAGGGGAAGGAAGGGAACTGGTAGTCAGCAAGAACAGAAATCCTACCATTCTTTGCTAAATAAACCAGATGAAGACTATCCCATTTAGGCAAACAAGATGCACAATATCATATTAAGATTACTTTCTAAAATGAAAAGTAAATTAATAGGAACCAGAAGGTATTTTGACTTCAGTCTCCCTTCTAGCATGTTAAGCATACCCATATGCTCCCAGTCAGATGGCAAGGGTGATTTTTAGCTTATTTATAAAAAATGTAGAGAAGGGAATAAACAAAAGCAGTTTGCAATTTATGTTGGGAAATACTCTGTCAGTGGTCACCAATAAACACTGCCAGGTCTTCCTCAAATGCAGAGGTTACACCTCAGCATTTCAGCACTACCTCTAGAAAATAACTTTCATGCTTCAAACAGGGAGGCCAAGTTCTTAGTTACGTAAAGGCTGCGGCTGCACTGCACAGTAAACCGACAACCACGGTCTGAGCACGTGAGTTAGCTTAGGCTGGCTCTGAGCATCTCTGGGTCCATTCCTGGGTTTGTGCTATCACAGTTTCTGCACTCGCCCATACACTACAGGGAGCACATCCTATGGGTGTCCTGTTACATTGAAGAATTTTCCCAGTTAGATGTAGAAGGCATTGTCCAAGCACCAGGAATGTGGTCAGGCTCTAACTCAGGGTCTGCTCTGCCTAATTACTGGTCTATTCTGCACACAAGTGGGTGCAAGTGAGTAGGGCTTATTTTCTTGGTGGGGGGTCCTGGAGTCAGGAGGGAAGTCATACAGGCATGCCCTTTGACAAGAGTACTTTTATTTAACCTCCATTTTTACATCTGTAAGTGGTGTTAATACAATTTACCACTCATTAGCTCTAGGATGTGGGCAAAAGTGGTCCATGTGCTGTGGTAGTGGGGAGCTGCAAAAGGCAAATACTGATTCTAACCCTTCTGAGGATGGAAGTGGGATGAACTGGGGGCCAAGCGCGTCTTTGGGGAGGAAGTTAAATCCAATAATTTATTCAGTCATGAGAGCTGACAGCTGGTGACAGGTACATTTTAAAAATTAAAAAAATTGACATCCTTGCTTTTCTAACTAGGACGTTATTTTAAAACTTAAGACAGTCCAATGGAAAGCTTTAAATATTTCAAAGTCTTCAGAGCCTGTCTGGCACTCTGCTGTATCTCAACATTCATGGCTCCTGCTCCCGCTCCCGGGCAGAGGGGTTGTGGTTGTTTAAGCTGTTAAGAAAAACTACACATTATCTGTTACAAAGTGAAGAACACCTCTGTCTCCTACATACAGTGTCTAGGTGGGCAAAAGTGAGTCAGGCAACAACACCTCTGCTCTATTCCTGGCTCTGTCAATGATTTCCTGTCGCAGACCTTACGAACACACAAGCTACCTCTCACACTGGGCACTATGACAGCTGGTTAGTTTGCCAGACTATCACTCTCTACTTTCATAGTACCACGGTCCTCTTCAAACAATTTAGAGAAGAATGATTGCAAACCACCTGGTCCTGGCCATCTCTGTATGCCATCAGCATCATCTGCACGCAGTAGCTGCCAAAGCCCTAAGGGCATTTTCAGTTCAGAGCCTCTAAAGATATTTGATGACTGGTGAAATGGAACGTGAGAATGGAGATGGGAAAATGGGGGGGGGGGAGAGGGAAAAAAACAGGGATCGAGATTTAGCCAATTCAGCTAAGAATGCAGGATGTTTTGCTTATAGGGTCATAGGAAAATAAGGCTGGAAAGACTCACAGGGTCATCTAGTCCAGCTCTCTGCTCAGGGCAGGATAATCCCTGACTAGAGACCATCCCAGCCAAGCGTCTGTCTAATCTGCTCTTGAAAATTTCCAAGGCTGGAAATTCCACAAGCTCTCTAGGCAGCCCGTTCCAATGCCTGACCACGCTCCCAGCCAGAAAGTTCCTCTTCATTTCCAACCTAAATTTTCTCCCCTGCAGCTTGAGGCTATTGCTCCTAGTCCTGTCTCCTATAGCCAGAGAGAAAAGCCACTCTCCATCTTGTGTGTCATCGTCCTTCAGGTATTGAAAGGCTGTTATTAAATCCCCATTCAGTCTTCTGTCTACAGACTAAAGAATCCTAGTTCTTTCAACCTTTCCTCACAAGTCATGTTTCCCAGGCCCCTAATCATTTTTGCTGCTCTGTGCTGGACTCTCCAAAGTGTCCACATCCTTCTTGAAATACTCCAGGTGAAGCCTCAGCAGTGCTGAATACAGCAGAAGAATCACATCCCTTGTTTTGGGAACATTCCTGTTAATACAACCCAGGATGCTGTTGGACTCTTTTGCAACAAGAGCACGCTGTGGGCTCACATTCAGCTTATGGTTTGCTGTAACCCCCACTTGATATCTCTTCCAACTAAACACTGAACCATTGGTTACTACTCATTGAACATGATAATCCAACTAGTTATGTATTCACCTCGCACTACAACTCTGGATCATCTGGAGTCTTTTCAAAATTATATGGCATCTTAGAGTTAAACCAAACAGACAGACAGGCATATGAACAGATTTTTAATAACACTGAATGAAAATGTAGGTATCCACTACAGTAAGAAATCCAATGTATTAAATCTCCAACAGCTTGAATCTAGTGCTCTTAACATGGCAAAGTTAAAGTACTGCCTTATAATATTTTGGCTTTGATGTCTTGATTGCTAGGAGTCTGATCTTGGAATCCCTCTTCTATGAAGAGAGGCCCTGCTGAAGTCAAAGGGAGTTCCTGGAACTGCTGTGCCTTCACATGGGATATTTCAAAAGCTGTATTTATAATGCCTCTTGTTATACAAGAGCTGCTTCAACAATTTTAGAGCATCTCTTCTGAGTTGCAATCTCAAATGTCAAAGGATCAACTAATGAGGGGTATGTAGCCTGGATATCAGCACAGCACAATTAACAAAGGAGGAAGTGGAGGAAAATATTTTGGTACACAGAAGTCTCTTAGCTATAAAATAAAAGAGGATGAATTAAAACTGAAGGGAAAAAAATGAAAACAAATTTTGTTGCAAAAAACTTCTGGTTTTAATTTTCTTTTCCACGGGAAGAGCAATTTTGCAGCAGTTTTGATATGGGGTAAATGAGAAAAAAAAAACCCTCACATCATTGTAGTTCAAGCTAGACAGTCACATGCATTTTCCACATTGGGCAGCATATAGAACATGGCACAAACGCGGAATACCTCGAATGCTGCAGTCCGAGACTGAAGTTAAACGGCAGAGACTGAGCTGGGGAAGCCACACCTGCTTCCCATAACACTGCCTCTGGCCTCATTTTTATAAGCATGTTTGCAAGCTCTCCCACAAAATGTAAATATATTTTTTTAAAAACCCTAACCAGGTCTCTAAATACCCTTGAGTATCATTTGAGTCCGCTATACCCACTTATATTTCCACAAATTGAAAGAGAACGATGGACTTTAAATGCAGTGAACTGACACAAAAATTCCTAAAATATGGATGCCAACATAAAAATACCAGCATATTATCTCAATTAGTGGGACTAGTCTACAAAACACCTATTTCAGTAAGTCTAACTGTTTGGCAGTGAACTATGGCAGGAAAAGATGGTAAAAAAAATAAAACTACTCCATCTGAATTACTGTGAGTATATCAAGTGGTGGAGATCAAAATATTGAACAGATTTAAAGGTATGAGGGATATTTTCTAGCACAGAACTGCACTCAAGTCCTTCGTATATGAACATTAAAAGTCAAGACTATATTTCATACAAACTGCTTAATAAGCAATTCCCATTCCTCCCTAATTCAACATTTTACAAGTCCTCAGTATCATAGTAGCCCGTCTAAGCAGAGCTCAGATGAGGGACGGACATGGCTCCCTGCACAGACTATCAAATTCATGTTCAACAATAACCAGTATGGGTCTTCCCAAGAATGGCACAGGGAGATCCCGCCCCACAAAAAGGCAATGGAAACTGCCTCTAAAATTTCTGGTTATATTCTTTTTAATGGTTCCCCTGAAGGGGTCAAGAATGCTGGAGGCTAATGCTTTTGTAGGCAAAAGCAGTATAAGTTTAGAGAGGCTTTAGGGAGGTGGGCAGCTGCCTGGCTGCTCCTAAGATGCCTAAGAAACTCTGCTTCAGCTCTTAATAGTCTATGAAAATGGTGGGAATAATGGTGGAAATACTGGCTAAGATCCTTGCTGCTTTGAAAGAGAAAGCAAGCTCTTGCGGTGGGCCCCTGCAGAGGGGTAAAGACGAGCGGAGAAGGATTCAATAGCTTGGGAAATTCCTTATCAGCGAGGTCTCCAGATCCCAGGGAGTCTGTCAAATACGGATGGATTCTAGCCTGGCTTTCCTGAAGCCCCAAGAAATAAGGGCTGGGAGAAGAGTGGGGGGCCTCCCAGAATTTCCACTCCTTCCTATCCCCATAGTAAAGATTGGGTAGCTCAATGTTAACAGACTCTAAAAATACCTAGCAAAGGAAAGGAGTATAAACGATCAGCATTTAACACCTCTCAAAATCTCAGAGAGCTAAGAAGGTTCTCAGGAGACTGCTTGTAACCAATTAACTGAAGCTATTACTTACCAGGTCTATATTTTGCATTACATCTTGGAAGGAAGGGTGAGTTCGAAACTGCTCAAAGAGATCTCGCTTGTAAAGCAGTGCATATACCAAATTGGGATTGTGATGGAGAGAGTTGGCCAGGCAGGAGTTGATAATCTCTAACATCATTCGGATCACTTCTTCAATCACATTCAGATCCTGTGCCTTTAAGAAAGGAGAAAAGAGAGAGAGAGAGAGAGAGATCAGCATGGCTTTTTCCATTCTAAAATATATTAGGTAGTAAAGACATTGCACAGGTATCATTACTGATGGAGCTTTCATCTGGCTGATGTCTGATCAGTGGTGAACAAATCTTGAATTCTTGTCTGTAGATATATACCCTCTGAATTGCTGTGAATATATGTCTTAATATATGCATTTTTGTAATAAAATCCAGATCTGCAACAGAATTCCAACAGACTCCAGGTTCTACTTAACAACATGTGTTCAAAACCAAGAAACGAAACCAAATTGTGCATGTTCCTGGCTCCAAAATGTTTTACATACAGATACTACAGAGTTAAATTCACTACAGTTTTGTGACCATCACTCCTAAGAGCTGGTGCAGGTAAAAGCAGTTCATTCCACTGTGTTATATTTTCTGTTCATCATATTTAAAAGAAAAAAAAGTGTGTGGGGGGCAGGAAAAATGTCAGTAAAAAATAAAATTACAGATATGAAGGAGAAAAAGAAAGAAACAAGCAGGCTGATTGTCTGGACAAAAACACACTTATCCTCCGTAAGTTACTGTCCTTACGGTGTGGGAGCCTGGAGTGCTCGTCAGCACCTAGAATGCAGATGACTGACGAAGAAAATTGCTTTTGAAAGCGCTCTACAACCTTCATACTCTAGGTTAAATGGGACATCTCAGGCACCTGACAAAGCATCCTAGAGCATGGGGTGGCCACGTTTCCTGGCAGAGGGGCCAGCTTGGGTCACAGGTGAGCCAGCACAAGTACCCATGTCCCACTGCCATTTTTCCCTACCTCCTGGCTGCATTATGGAGACAGCACAGGCAAAGTCCCCTGCTGCTGAAGCTCCCACTCCACAGGTCTTCATTTGCAAAAGTGGAAAAACAATGTTCGACTGCTCAACAGGGATGCTGCACGCAGATCCATACATTAGAAATGATGGGATGGGGATCATGTCAACTGATAAAATAAATGGCCTGAAGCTGAGAGTAAGACTCCAGTTCTCTAAGACTTTCCATTAGTAAGACTAGGTGGCTGCAAAATGATAATACTGAATCACAACCAATCTAGACTGCATTCATAGTCAAAGAAATGAAAAGCCTTTACCAAAATGATGAACTTCCAAGTCTCCCAAGACGGACATTAAAAACATATTCCCCTGGATGAGGATCTGGCTTGCCAGTTTTGAGTCAAGAGCAAAGCAGTAACCCTTAGACCAGGAGTGGGCAATTATTTTGGTTGGAGCGCCGCTTAATGAGTGTCGATGAGCTGTTGAGGGCTGCAAGGGTAGCCCCGCCCCTTGACAGGTGAACCACCCCCTGGGTCATCATCTTGGGACCAGAAATCCTGCCCCTAACCCCTGAACTTTGCCACCGGAAGACCCTCCCCTTGCCCCCAGAAGTACTCCTTTGGTCAGGGGTTGCCATCTTGAAACCCAAAAAACCCAACTCATATACTAAAAGTCAAACATCTAATATAACATATTTTAATTTGATTTCAAAAAATACTTTTGCCCCAATTTATTTGTGTTTGTGTAGTGTATATAGAGATGATTGCATAATAGCTCAAACAAAGTCTTACTCCTGTATATTGTGTGTGTGTGTGTGTGTGTGTGTGTGTGCGCGCGTGCGCACGTGTGTGTGCGCGCACAGTGGGGTGTGGGGCATGGGGTTTGTGAGGGGGTGTGGCTGTGTGTGGGGGTACAGGTTATGTTGTGGAGTGTGTATATATTGGGGGGGTCGTGGGGGCTTGGCGTGCATGGGGTAGGTAGAGTGTGAGAGGGTGGG